GGGGGGGGGGGGTGCATCGGATTGCGCGGCAGCGACCGCATTGCCGCTGGTCTTCGCGCATAAGGCAAAATGCAGAACGGCGCGCGTGAAATATTGGATTACTCGCGGTAGGGTCAATTACTTCGTTTAGACGTCTCTCTCTTTCTTTGTTATCTAAGGTCGCATCTAGGTCAGTACCAACCACTATTGTATTTACCGGTATGGTAACTGTGAAATGGACATGATCTGGGGGTGATAGGGGGTGAAAGGACGAACACAAACACAACCGTACCCGACGCGGGACTCAAAGACGCGATCCTTCGGTCCGAGATCGCTAGGTCACTATTTCCTTAACGATCTCGGCCATCCGGACTGCCTTTCATTCATTTTTGTTTATTAAAATTTTAAGTAAAATATAAATATATTGTTCGCGTTCTGTAGTGTGGGCGTCAGCACAGCTTTTTACAAGGCATCCCGACATTTTCAACACTTCTCTTAGGAGAACAATAAATCATGCTCAGTTATATATGTTTAAATGCACCCACTACCAGTTTTGAAAAATGTACTTCTTTTTCATTGGATTAGTGCATTTTATAACTATACTAATAGTAGGTAACTTTTTCATTTAGTATTTTTTGCAGCTTTACTCATGACACAAGGGAGATTTTTGTTTCTTATTGAGTTTTGGAATCCTTAAGGAATTTGTTTACGTGTCAGTTTTTTTCTGTTTTAAATTTTTCGTACGACAAACCTCAGTATTAGATCCTTGACAACGTTCAGAATATTGGATCTAATGATGTATGGCATACCCTTAACGAAAATTGAATGATTAGTGGTATTTAAACCACGTGCAATGCATGTGCTGCGTATTTCTGCTCTTCGTGGATGTTGTGAAAACAAGCGCTGACGACGAGGATGAGGCCTGTGGTTTGGTCGGCCGAGGCGTCGTGCTATTCCGCAAGGCATTTGGTGTGATAATCCTGTTGCGATAAGCCGCTCAGCGCACCAAAGCCGGGCGGCAGGATTTTTGAAACGAGAATTCCACAACTCCTTCCGCTACTCCTTGTGCCGACCGTTTTCCTACCGATCTCTTGGAAACTGATTAAATCCCGCTTTAAATATAATTCCAATGTTTGGTTGTCTATTTCGTATTACACCGCTTCGGAACCAGAATGTGTGTAAATTAACGCCTTACGATCTAGCCAGTCATTTATTTCCATACGCCTTTAAGAATGTAAAAATGTGGATATTCAGAAATAAACATAACCCGTGTTTTGAAAACATCATCGACAGCAACAATTTTGATTTCATTTTCTGTGACTTTGAAACATTGTAATAAATTGGATGACTATTGACTAACGAAACTGCTTCTTCATTATAAGGAAATGTGGGACCCTCAAGAAAGGATGCTGTGGAGAATTATAAATGCCAACACTCAAACATCTAAAGGTCAAAACACACATTTTGGTTTAATATCTGAAGATGATGATGAATTCTGCATCTTCTTGCAGTGTTGCAATATTGTGCAAGGAGATAAGATTTTTCCAGCTGATCTCTGTAAGGATATAGTTATTGATTAATTTCTTTCTAAATTTAAATCTGAATCCTCTTTCGGACATCTCACATTCTCAACTACATCTGCATAAATTAACACTTGCCTGCTACCTTTCGCGTTCAGATTCGGGCAAGAAATCTCGGCGAAAGTTTCCATTTAGCGGGGCCTTTATCTTAGCTTTTAGAGGGCCGTAGAGTGTTTGGCATCCTCCGTGAGATGGCTCTAAAAGGAACGTTGTAAGTACCTGCAGCATAGCATTTTTATCGCCGAGAAAAAGCTACGCCATCTCATTACATGTCATTCATGTTGTAAGGCGGCGGGATACTTTGTAGCGTCTCTTAAAGCGAGCGTGGAGGAACGTGTTGGCTACGCTGTTACCTGCATTTATTTGAATCTTCCGAATGGCTTACACGTACTTAAATGGCACGAAACACGCTTTTTGGTGCGGATGCATTACGGTGTGGCTTTTGCCTCGTCGTCAAAAGCAGATCGCCAACCGGTTTTTGGGGGCGGTGGATGAAAAGTGTACGAAAGTAATGCGCGGGAATATAAACGAGACTTTCTGTTCGCAAGGTAATCTGGAGTCAACGAGAAGTTAAATTTCCTGCACGATACTTTCTTGAAACTTTAATTTGTTTTCTTTGTAGAACGCGGTATTTATCAAGATGCTTTATAAAGTTTGTTTGGTAAATACGCGGGCTCGAGTTCCATCTATCGGTAATGCTACTAACATGATTCTCTGGGGAATAATTTGGAATTAGCGGTTATGCCAGTACGGAAAGATTAAAAGCGGAGTCGAACTGTTAATATTTCCGCATCTCCATGGATTGTTTGAGCAGATTAACGCTTGACGAAAGAAAGTTTGTATCATTCTTGTTCAATAAACGAAGTTCACTTCTTACAAGGGGCATGTTTATGCACAAGGAACCGACCGAATACAACGTTTTATAATAGAGACTAGTAGGAGCTCTCAAGACACATTAGGTCTGCTAAAAACTTTCCCCGCTTGAGCGTGTGGTCGCTTTCAAAACATACGTTAGTTTGCCCGACTTTGCGGGAGGGTGGAGAAACGGTAGAGGAAGAAGGAGAGGGGGCAAGGGTAAGGAGGAGACCAAAGGGAAAAACTTCGTTTAAGAGCGAAGCGTCGCGACCATTAGAGAAGTACGGGGCGTGCCGACGTAGAAGTAACATTCTTTAAAAGGCCGCGGTGGAACCGTCGTGGACTAGTTCCCTTGCGGGGGCGGGGACTGCGGTTGTGTTTGCGGCTTGACCTTCCGTCAAAAATATCGTGTCGGAAGTTAAAAGGGTTGAGTTTTCCATTAGCCTGCGTGGTGCGCCTGCCCGGCGGTGGCTCGGTTGGCGGGGGACCGAAGGTCGACGGCGCGGGGCGGGAGCAAAGACGCGGGAAGAGGGAAGTCTGTGAGAGACATAAGGCGGGAGTGGTCTGGTGGCTTCTTGCACGGACACAATTGGCGGGAAGGCAGGAGTGGAGCGAGACGAGGCGGTGCGTGGCGGGACGAGGAGTGACGAGGAGGGACGAGAAGGGACGAGGAGGGACGAGGCGGGACGAGGAGGGACGAGGAGGGACGAGGAGGGACGAGGAGGGACGCGGAGGGACGCGGAGGGACGAGGAGAGACGAGGAGGGACGCGGAGGGACGAGGAGAGACGAGGAGGGACGAGGCGGGACGAGGCGGTATTGTATCAATATACTAAAAATGAGGAAATTGTGAAATTATTTTTTTCGGGAAATATTAGGCAAATTAAACTCAGTCATCAAAATGTTTTGAATACAATGACTATTCAATAAATATTATCAGCGTATTATGGATTGGGCGAAATAAATCCGCTAATCATTCTGTACCTCCATAAAACATGTTCACCATTATTTACACAATGAGAAAATATTGTGATCTTTTAAGCATTTGTACCAAAATCAGCCACGAAATTACATACTCAACACTGTTGATACAGTATATATACATACTTTGTTTATATTAGTATTTGTTCACATCTGAAGACGCATAATACGATCATCAGAAACTCAAGCAACGTGCATACAATCCTGAAAGCACAATCAGCTTGTTTGTAAGATCACCCTGCGTATTTCGCCTCGTACGCTTCGATGGAGAGAAAAGTCGGGCTTGTTTTGCACCGCGCTCCCTCCCGCGTCGTTCGGGCGACTCGCGAGTGGCGGCGCTAGCTGCGCTTCTGTCGGCGACCGTCAGCGTCTCCGCCGATTTTCCCGACGACAGCGTTTCATAACAAGGGATTACCTCCCGGCGACGAAGGTAGCGAGTTTCGGCGCTCGCTCTTATCCTACGGGAGACCGTTCGTTCGGTCGTGAAATAAACCAGCGTTGCCGCTCCTCCCGCCCGCCCCGCGCGATGCATCGAGAAGAAGTGAGTGGGACGGCAACGCTTCGGGATAACGAGAAGCGTCGCTTTTGAACTTCGCCGGCGCTCTATCGGCTAGAGAAGGAAAAAAAAAGCGGCAGTTGTGATGGTCCACGGAGTTATTTTCTGGATTCAGTAATGGGTGTGCGGATGCAGGGTCGATCAGAATTCTATTAGAAATCCAAGGGAATTTTGATTAAATGGGAACAGGAATGATCCTCTGTACGTATGTTCAAAAAATCTTCGTAGAAACAAGTTAATTATCTCAATTTATGATATACGTTTACATCATTTACATATGCCCCCTAAGGACCACTGCATTACAGATAACGCTATCAGTAATGCTCCCGTTACAAGGTCCCACAGCGTTGTTAATAGAGAACATATATTGAACCTTTTCTGAAGAAAACAAAGTATTTTCGGGCGCATGCTGGTGTCACCGTAGTCTTGTCACTTCCACGTCGAGACCATCCGCGAACGTCTGTCGGTAGAGCTGCGGTACACTCTATGTAGTACAGCCCCTCCTCCACCAGATAGCATTGTTTTCGTATCTTGACACGTTATTAACTCGTCATTTTCTGCTCCTCGCGCTGGGTGTCCCCGTCTCGGAAGGGCGGTGTTGTGTTTCGATTTGTCAAGGGCGCCTTCGCCCCTTATCTGGAAGAGTATTTGTGTGAGGTGTGGAGGTGAAGGGGAGGTCGCAGTCTTCTGTTCGTACTGTCATTTGCCGTCTCGATGCGCAACCGCTGATTTTCTTTTATGCGTCCCATCGACGGATCGGTGTTTTCTCGTGTTTTCTTGACTTTCATTTTTTCGTTGCCAATGCCTCACTTGTCATCTTGCAACCTCCGCTGCTTTTCACTTACTTTGGGCATGTTCGCGGTTCACGGCATATTCATTTATCGCATTATTGCCATGCCCCACAAATATGCTCTCGCTCCCAGCCGTGTTTACCTATGGCTCGTCCTCTTTAGTTGTAATATTTATCTCTCGGTACGTTCGCCACAAGCCCTTGTTTTTACAGTTGCTTCAGCTTCGTGTTGACTTGATTTTTTCTCCATTATGTGCCTGCATTATTACTGCGTCTTCTGCCTCAAAAGCACATATTGGTATCAAATAACAAGTTTGCAGCCGTCTGCTTTATCTTAATATTTAAAGCAATGTCGTATCTGACCACGTCCATCACTTTGCCGAAACATGTCGTGTTCCTTGCCTTCACATGGCTCTATCAGCATGACTTGCAATACTACATCCCGAACATTGATCTATTTAACATGGAAACCAGTCGATCACCCGTCTTAGCAAGCCTCCTAGCATCTTATCTGTTTTTTGTTTCGTTGTATCATCTTTTATATTCGGATTCATCCCCAACGATTCTCCTCGTTATAGTTCCTTTCAACAGGTGCCTGGTCCTGTTCCATTCATGTCGCATGAGGCCTCATCGCCTCGTCGTTGACATCGTGACAGTTCCTGCGGTCCATTCTGCCACTCATCATCCGGCTAACATCACCTCCGTCAACTCAATCACCTCGATCGCATCCGCTGCCTTGATTATCTTCATTGCGTTCAACACATCCATTGCGTCTGTCACATTCTTCACCTCCATCTCCCTGATCACCTCGATCGCTCTAATCATCATCGTCACCATAGTCACTTCCATCGCCACAATCACTTCCATCGCCATAACCTCCCCCGTCGCTCTAATCATGTCCATCACCTCTATCACACTAATGTCCATCACCGTAATCACGTCCGTCGCCATAATCACCTCCATCACCATACTAATAATCTACGCATTAATCACCGGCAACGTCCTAATCACTTCGGTCACCCCAATAATCTCCCTCGTCCTAATCTCTTCCAGCGCCTTCATCGTGGCAGTCGTGTACTCTTCTCCAATGTCACCTCATCCTCCATCACCTCCACTGCCCACATCACCACCTTCGCCTTCCGTGCCCGTTGGCTGCGCCGCCTCCCTGGCGCTCCGCGAGGCTGCTCCCTCGGGTCTTCTCCCGGGCCGCGTGAAATTAGGGGCGTCCTCCAAGTGGCCCAAATCTTGTCAGTGTAAATAAAGCTCTAATCATTCAATCAGACCCGGCCTTCCGCGGCGCCCTCTGGGTTTTCCCTCCTCGCGCCCTCCAGGGGCCTCCCCCTCCCCCCCAGCCTCTGGACCCGGCGGCGCGCCGCGCCGCGTCGGGGCGTCTCGCCCGAGGCCCTGGAGAAATTCTATTTATTCCGGTTTAATAAAGGCTGAAGAAAGGGGCGCGTCGCGGCGCAGTCTGGAGACGTGGCGTCGCAGGCCGACGCAGACTTATCTCGGAGACAGCATTTTTGTTGTTGTTGCAGGGACGTTGACCTTCAGGTTCAAGGATTCGAGACCCGACGGTGCCGGATTTTCGACACTAGCCAGACAGCTGGATCGAATTCATCTGTTGTGTAGAGGTGAAATCCGATCGGTAGTTTCCGTGGTAATCCGACCGATTCCACGCGAATGTCGGAATAGTACTCTAACAAAAGGATCACGGACCGTCCACGATCTTTCCCTCTTCCTTTTCCTAAAAGTAAAGTATGTGCGTAAAAGTAGAGTATGTGCGGTTTGGGCAACACCAGATAAATACTCCCAGTTTTTCTATTTTTTTATAGTATAACTTTCACTGACTATTGTGAAAAAAATACAGGATTTAAAAATATATCATGTGTACTTTGCTGGGGTGCTGGATGTTTGTCTGTTTGTTAGTTTGACACGACTCTAGTTACTGCCTCGTATATTTTTTATACCAGTTAAATGCGATGCTTTATCAAATGAGAAACAGAATGTCTTAAAAAGCGAGCGTTGCTTGGGATATGCCAAAATCTTTGAATTGATCTCCTTGTTCCTTCTTTGTGGTATTTACGTCACTACCGGAGCTTCCGCTACTTCTCCCCGCCGCACCACCACCATGTCTTCTCCCGCCGCCTTCGCCGTGTCCGTCGTTGTGTTTGCTTGTTCAAGTAACGACGACAAACCAAACACGCGTCCAAGACCAAACTCAAGGGCCCGACGAGCAAGTTACAGGACGGGTCGGCTCCGCGTGTGCTGCGTGGCGCGCGTTGGGACACGCGCACGCACTGTGCGTGAGCGGCCACGCGCCAGCGCATTTGATCGCGCGACCTACGCTTCGGGGCGTACGCCAGGGTTCAACTTTATCTCAACATTCAAAGCCTCTCACACTATTAATTGTGCTAAAACCTCTCGTAAAGTTTTGGAGGATTATAACGGGAAGAATAATTTAAAAAAAATAGAATGTTACATTTATTTTTCGTTACTGTTTGTGTTTTTAGAGAGATTGTGTACACCAAAGCGGCTGCACTGTCGATCGTCTTCGCATGCGCAGATTCACTAAAGTAATGCGAAACTTGAACTGTGCTCATGCGCAGAAGATCAATAGAGCTGTAACGTTCGAGGGTGCTCAAACACTCTAATAACTCATACGGTATTCTGTTCTTTACTGGCAGTTCCGTTTGTCCGCTAAGGGGCGCACTACGTTCCTGGAAGGCGGTGTCCTTCTGCTGCTGCGCGTGGCCGTTGGGCCGTCTTGCGCCTGAGGCTGTTGCGTCCCGCGCGCGTCCCCCCAGCCCCCGCTCCGCCCCGCTAGCTGGGCAGTGGACAGTGGGTGCGCGCGCGAGTGTGACGCGAGGAGCGACCGCTATTCACGGAGGCGGCAAGTGAATGCGCTTGCTGCCGCCAGATAGGTCGGAAGACTTTACGCGCCCCTGCGAAGCCTCCCTCCCCCTCCCGGTTTATAACGCCTCCCAGCGGCGTCGGCGGAGAGAGGG